TGTTATCTGATCACAAATGTATCACACTGAATTAATTGCTAAGTGCAGTGGATGAAGGGCCAGCATTGCAAAGAGTAACTATGATGTATCAATCTTTTAGCCAAACTACCATGCTTTGTTTTCAAGCAAAAGCAACTAAAAACTTGATAAAGGTTAGCCTGAACTGAGCTCAGCTCACTTGTACACCAGTTCAGGGTATTCTTCAAGTACTTCACCTTTTTTAGAAGAAGAAAAATCTCCACCGCGAGCGTTTTACGCGCAGTGCGGCACGGGCTCAACCAGCTCGCGTTAGCAGGATTGCCCGACTTTGAAATCATACAACCCAAACGACATCTTTAGCACCAAAAGTAATGAGCAGGCAATTAACATCATTCACTACGTCGTTTCGACCACTGCTACTCACAATGCTCGCATGATTGCCTATCATCTTCAAGAAATAACCATCTGATAATATAATAATTTCGGCAACAAACAGGTCATATGATTTTTAACACGCAGACAGCCGACGATTTATGGCATGTACTAAAAGGGCAACATAAGCACCAAATTGCGTCCATTCGAGCAATTACGAAAAGTATCCCAGTTCTTCACATTCGTGTCTCGAATTGATGTTTCCAAACAGACAGCACAGAGAAAAACCCAACAATATCGGCGGAACTGAAGCATTTCCAGCAGTCTTAAAAAACGGACCAAGCCACGGGAACCAAACACCGAAGCCAAGCCAACGTTTTCGGTACGGTATATTGACGTTTATTAGCGCAGTGCATCTCATACACGAGTCCGGATAATGTGATTCACACTTATTAGGACCAAACACATCGTGACGACATTGTCGCTTAAACTACAACACTTGGATTCAATTAATATGACTACTCCGTTTGCCGTGACATGCTGCCATCATGTCGTGCAGAGGGACTGTCGTAGTACCCTCTTAAAGTAGTGCACCTCTTGTAGAATTCCAACGAGCAAGGCTTGAAATCGCTCTGACATCTAGAGACATACTCTGCCGAGATAATATGCCAACAGCCACCCTAAGGAAACGGATCAAGCCTCGGGAAACGAAGACTGAAGCAAGGCCAGCGTTTTCGGTACGGTACATATACGTCTGTTAGCGTAGTGCACCTCACACACGAGTCCGGGTAATGCGATTCACACCCTTAGAACTGAACACGTCGTGCTGACAATGTCGATGGAACTGCACGACTTCGGTCCGATGAATAAGACTCATGCATTGCCGTGAGATGCTGCAATCATGTCGTGCAGAGGGGCTGTCGTAGCACCCTCTTAAAGTAGCGCACCTCTTGTACAATTCCAACGAGCAAGGCTTGAAATCGCTCTGACATCCAGAGACATACTCTGCCGAGATAATATGCCAACAGCCACGCAAAGGAAACGGATCAAGCCCCGGGAAACGAAGACTGAAGCAAGGCCAGCGTTTCGGTACGATACATATAAGTCTATTAGCGTAGTGCACCTTACACACGAGTCCGGATCATGCGATTCACACTTATTAGGACCAAACACATCTTGCTGACGATGTCGGTGGATATGCCAGACCACGGTCCGATGAATAAGACTCATGCATTGCCGCCAGATGTTGCCATCATTGGCGGACGGACTGCAGTAGCACCCTCTTCAAGTAGTACACCTCTGGTATAATTCCAATTGGCGGGACCTAAAAACCGCTCTGACATCCAAAGACATACTCTACCGAGATAATATGCCAATAAAAATCCTAAGGATACGGACCAAGCCTTGGAACCGAAGACTGAGGCTAGGCCAGCTTTTTCGGTACGGCACATGTGCGTCTATTAGCGCAGTGCACCTCATGCACGAGTCCGGATCAGGCGATTCACACTTATGGAAATTAAACACATCGTGCTGACAATGACGGTGGAACTGCGAGACTTCGGTCCGATGAATAAGACTGATGCATTGCCGTGAGATGCTGCCATCATGTGCCGACAGGCTGTAGTAGCACCCTCTTAAAGTAGTACACCTCTTGTATAATTCCGATTGGCGAGACCTAAAAACCACTCTAAAAGGCAAAGACACACCCCACCGAGATAACATCCCGACACGAACCCTGAGGAACAAAGCCAAGCCCCGGGAACCGAGGACTGAAACAAAGGCAACGGTTTAGGTACGGTACATATACGTTTAGTCGTGCGGTGCACCTGAAACAAGAGCCCTTACAACGCGATTCACACGAAGTAGAAATAAACACATTGTGCCGACGATGTCGGTTGGGCTGCAATACTTTGATTCAATGAATAAGACTCATGCACTGTCGTGGGATGTCACCATCATGTGCGGACAGACTGTAGTAGCATCTTCTTAAAGTAGTGCGCCTCTTGCATAATTCGTTGACGAGACCTAAAAACGGCTTTGTCATCCAAAGACACACTGTACCGAAATAACGTGTCAATAGCAATTCTAAGGGAACGGACCAAGCCCCGGAAACCGAAGACCGAAGCGAGGCCAACGTTTTCGGTTCGGTACATATGTATTTATAAGCGCAGCGTACCTTATACCATCGTCAGCAAGATGTGTTTAGTCCTAATAAGTGTGAATCGCATGATCCGGACTCGTGTGTGAGGTGCACTACGCTAACAGACGTATATGTACCGTACCGAAAACGCTGGCCTTGCTTCAGTCTTCGTTTCCCGGGGCTTGGTCCGTTTGCTTAGCGTGGCTGTTGGCATATTATCTCGGCAGAGTACGTCTTTGGATGTCAGAGTGGTTTCTAGGTCTCGCCAATTGGAATTATACAAGAGGTGTACTACTTGAAGAGGGTGCTACTGCAGTCCGTCCGCCAATGATGGCAACATCTGACGGCAATGCATGAGTCTTATTCATCGGACCGAAGTCTTGCATATCCACCGACATCATCAGCAAGATGTGTTTGGTCCTAATAAGTGTGAATCGCATGATCCGGACTCGTGTATGAGGTGCACTACGCTAACAGACGTATATGTACCGTACCGAAAACGCTGGCCTTGCTTCAGTCTTCGTTTCCCGGGGCTTGGTCCGTTTTCTTAGGGTGGCTGTTGGCATATCATCTCGGCAGAGTAGGTCTCTAGATGTCAGAGCGATTTCCGGCCTTGCTCGTTGGAATTGTACAAGAGGTGCACTAATTTAAGAGGGTGCTACGACAGTCCCTCTGCACGACATGATGGCACCTCACGGCAATGCATGAGTCTTATTCATCGGACCGACGTCTTGCATTTCCATTGACATTGTCAGCACGACGTGTTTAGTTCTAATAAGTGTGAATCGCATTGTCCGGACTCGTGTGTGAGGTGCACTACGCTAACAGACGTATATGTACCGTACCAAAAACGCTGGCCTTGCTTCAGCCCTCGTTTCCCGGGGCTTGGTCCGTTTGCTTAGGGTGGCTGTTGGCATATTATCTCGGCAGAGCACGTCTTTGGATGTCAGAGCGGTTTCTAGGTCTCGCCAATTGGAATTATACAAGAGGTGTACTACTTGAAGAGTGTGCTACTGCGGTCCGTCCGCCAATGACGGCAACATCTGACGATAATGCATGAGTCTTATTCATCGGACCAAAGTCTTTCATATCCACCGACATCGTCAGCAAGATGTGTTTAGTCCTAATAAGTGTGAATCGCATGATCCGGACTCGCGTGAGGTGCACTACGCTAACAGACGTATATGTACCGTACCGAAGACGCTGGCCTTGCTTCAGTCTTCGTTTCCCGGGGCTTGGTCCGTTTGCTTAGCGTGGCTGTTGGCATATTATCTCGGCAGAGAACGTCTTTGGATGTCAGAGTGGTTTCTAGGTCTCGCCAATTGGAATTATACAAGAGGTGTACTACTTGAAGAGGGTGCTACTGCAGTCCGTCCGCCAATGATGGCAACATCTGACGGCAATGCATGAGCCTTATTCATCGGACCGTGGTCTGGCATACCCACCGACATCGTCAGCAAGATGTGTTTGGTCCTAATAAGTGTGAATCGCATGATCCGGACTCGTGTATAAGGTGCACTACGCTAATAGACGTATATGTACCGTACCGAAAACGCTGGCCTTGCTTCAGTCTTCGTTTCCCGGGGCGTGATCCGTTTCCTTAGGGTGGCTGTTGGCATAATATCTCGGCAGAGTATGTCTCTTGATGTCAGAGCGATTTCAAGCCTTGCTCGTTGGAACTGTACAAGAGGTGCACTACTTTAAGAGGGTACTACGACAGTCCCTCTGCACATGATTGCAGCATGTCACGGCAACGGAGTAGTCATGTTAATTGAACCCAAGTGTTGTCGTTTAAGCGACGATGTCGTCACGATGTGCTTGGTCCTAATAAGTGTGAATCACATTATCCGGACTCGTGTATGACATGCACTGCGCTAATAGACGTCAATGTACCGCACCGAAAACGTTGGCTTGGCTTCGGTGTTTGGTTCCCGTGGCTTGGTCCGTTTTTTAAGACTGCTGGAAATGCTTCAGTTCCGCCGACATTGTTGGGTTTTTCTCTGTGCTGTCTGTTTGGAAACATCAATTCGAGACACGAACGTGAAGAACTGGGATGCTTTTCTTGATTGCTCGAATGTACGTAATTTGGTGCTTATATTGCCCTTTTAGTACATGCTATAAGTCGTCGGCTGTCTGCGTGTTAAAAATCATATGACCTGTTTGTGGCCGAAATTATTATATTATCAGATGGTTATTTCTTGAAGATGATAGGCAATCATGCGAGCATTGTGAGTAGCAGTGGTCGAAACGACGTAGTGAATGATGTTAATTGCCTGCTCATTACTTTTGGTGCTAAAGATGTCGTTTGGGTTGTATGATTTCAAAGTCGGGCAATCCTGCTAACGCGAGCTGGTTGAGCCCGTGCCGCACTGCGCGTAAAACGCTCGCGGTGGAGATTTTTCTTCTTCTGAAAAAGGTGAAGTACTTGAAGAAAACCAGGTTCAGTGCATTAATGTAATGCTAGCATAGCATGGGGGAAGCTATAACAACGCCAGTTTTTTAATCTCACTTCAGGTTCTAGATGATCTCCATTAGGCTTTTCACTGGATCCGCGGATTTCACTGGATGCCGCGGGACAGCCAACCATGCAATTGCCCGGGCAGACCAAGGCGGTGGCGCGCAGACCAAGGCTAACGGAGCAGACAACAAAGCAGTTTGTATTTGACCCCGGTGCGTAGTAATTGTAACGCTATTGAAATGATGCTTCCAGATTACTGCCAAATTAATGGAAATATTGGGTGTCACAAAAATGCGCGGCTAAACGATGTCCACAATGCCCACTCGAACCTATTTTACGTCATTCCCATTTTTGAGACTTGGTATGCGCTTTACCCTTTCTTTGAAGATGAGAAAGCTCTTTTTCCCATCTCCCAGGCAATGTTTTCACCACAGTGAAATGGTTTAAGAAGGTAATTAGTCTTCAATGTCGTTAAAATCAATGTCAGTTTTTGTTTGTTGTTGTTCATTGGAGTTTTCGGGCGCGTCGACTGCAGTGGTCATTTTGCGCCCATAACTATGCTGTTACTTAATTAGTACGGTGTGAAAATGACTTGAAAATCAATATCTTTTAAAAACGAAAAGAGCTGTTTGGGACCAAGAAAGGAGGAACTGTCACCAAGCACATCGTTTATCGTCAGGGTCGAAGCCTGTGAACCAAAGTGACGTCGTCGTTCTTCGAAAAGGCATGGACATGATATAATGACATGATGGACAGTCAGGACGGCACCACACCGCTAGCATAGGGGTCTGTCGGCTCCATGTAACAGATGGCCATGGGTGGCATAGGTATGCCCAATGCGCAGCCTGCATAAAGCCACCTCTTCCCACCGCACACTGCAAGAGCATGACGACCACAAGCCCAGCTCTGTCTTTATTGCCCTGAGCTTATTGCCCCCCACCTGGTCCCAACAGCGCTGCAATCTGCTTCTCAAGAAGGTCTTGACTGCCGGGTAAAAATCTCTGGCAGGGATAGGCAAAAACCGGGTATATGGTGCTACCGCTGCTCGCTTAGCAGCGACATCAGCCAGTTCGTTGCCCACGATACCGACGTGACTGGGGATCCAGCATAGTGCAACTCTCTTTCCAACCCGATTCAATTGTGTCAGGCGTGATAAAATGTCCTGTAAAAGGGGACATGATGGATAAAAAGACTTCAGTGCAAAGAGACTGCTCAGTGAATCTGTAAAAATGGCGTGTGAAGATTCTTCACCCACTTCGATGAAACATATCGCCTTGGTGACTGCAACTAATTCCGCCGTAAAAACTGACGAGTGGGCCGGTAACGAGAACGATCGAGTGACGGACCCGCTAACGAAAGCACAACCCACGCCATCCGAGGTTTTGGATCCGTCTGTGTATGTCAGGGTATATCCTTCATAACACGCCAAAAGCTCAACTGCCCTGGATCTCAATAGGTGTGGTGTGACGTCTTTTTTCCTAATTTCCGTAAGCGAGGTGTCAATGAAGGGTGTGGTCATTTGCCAGGGAGGAGAAGCCAGGCGGCTTACTTGCCTTACACCCCCGAACAGGAATTCCGCTCTCAAGCAATAACGCTCTCATTCGGGAACCAAAAGTTAAAGCGTGCTGCTGCGGCCCATGACGAAGAGAACTTACTGCAAACCGCGAAAATATTGCAGAATATGTCGGGTGAAGTGGGAACTGCCGCAGCTTCAAGGCATAACGCATGCCAAGCATTTTCCTCCTCGTCGAAAGTGGTGGTTCGTGTGCCTTCGTTAAAAGGCTGACGGAAGGTGATGTGCGAAACGCCCCAGTAGCAATGCGAATGGCAGTATGGTGGACGGTATCAAGAACACGCTTGCTGGATTCAGACGCGCCATCATAAACAAAGCATGCATAATCCAGTTTGGAGCGGACGAGGGAACGATATAAAAGCATAAGCGTGCTTCTGTCTGCCCCATACGATGTGCGAGACACACACTTTAGTATGTTGAGAGATTTAAAGCATCGATCGCGTAACATTTTAAGATGTGCGTTATATGTAAGGCGGCGGTCAAAGTGTATCCCAAGATACCTGGCCACGGCCTTATTTGGAATAGAGCGACCATATAGACGGATGCTCAGATCATCACATCGCTGGCGACGACAAAAATGCATCGCAACGGTCTTGTCGCCTGAAAAACGAAACCCGTTCATGTCACCCCATCTTTCAACGCGGTCCACAGCCAGCTGGAGACGCCGCTCCATCGCTGGTGCTCTCGCTGCACTGGTCCAAATAGTAAAATCGTCAACAAAAAGGGCACGTCCGACCGACTGTGGGAGCACATCACAAATATCATTTATCATAACTGCGAACAGTGCAACACTTAACACGCCGCCCTGGGGCACGCCGTTTATTTGTTCGTACCTGTCGGAGAGGACGTTGCCGACCCGAACACGGAAGTATCGTTTGGCTAAAAACCTTTGGAGAAAAGCACCCATATGGCCACGTATACCATATTTAAAGAGCTTTTGAACAATACCATGGCGCCATGTGGTGTCATAGGCGGCTTCAATGTCGAAGAATACTGTCCCCATATGCGCTTTTTCTTGAAAAGACTTGCGAACCGTGGTGTCCAGTGTTAAGAGATGGTCCACCGTACTACGGTTTTTCCTAAATCCGCACTGCGAGTTACTAAAAATATCGTTGTTCTCTAAAAACCAAGTGAGTCGCACGTTTACCATCTTTTCCATGAGCTTGGACAGTGATGACGTCAGTGAAATGGGTCGGTAATGAAGAGGGTCCAGCCCACTCTTCCCCTGTTTTAGGATAGGCACCACAACAGCTTCCCGCCAGGCCGGAGGGAACTCACCTCTTGACCACACCCTATTGAAGGCCGCCAATAGTGCACGACGTGCACACGGAGGCAGATGTCGGAGCATCTCATTGTGGATGTCATCAGGACCTTCCGATACACTACGAAGTCTTCCGATTGCCGACTCCAACTCCACCAAAGTGAAGGGCTCATTGTACGCCTGTGGTTGCCTTGTAGAAAAGTTCACTACGGTTTTTTCGGATTGTGCTCCTTGCCGTAAAAACTGTGGGCTCATGTTTGCACCTTCGCTACGGTGGGAGAGTGCTCGGGCGATCCCGTTAGCCGCATCCAACGGATGAGTCACCACCTGGCCGTTAACATGTAACACAGGAAGTGGCACGGATGAAAACTGCCCGGAGATACGTTTGATCCGAGCCCACACCTGCGAAGTTGGTGTGAATCGGTTGAGCGTGCTTACGTACATACGCCAGGATTCACGTTTCGCTTCTTTTATCGTGCGGCGGGCGAAAGCCCTGGCTTTCTTAAAGGCTACTAAATTCTCCAAGCTACTTCTGGCGTCAAAAGCTCGGAAAGCACGTTTGCGTGCGCGAATTGCGTCACGACACTTCTCCGTCCACCACGGCACAGGAGTGCGACGAGGAAATCCAGAAGTGCGCGGGATGTAATCGCTAGCGCAATCTAGAAGTCTGTGAGTAAAATCCTCAATAGAGGGTGCCACCCTCACACCTCCGGTCTGACATAATGTCTCCAGTCGAGCCTCAAACTCTCTCCAGTCAGCCTTTTTTAAATTCCAACGTCGTGGTCTTACACCCAACGTTCCTCTTATGTGGAATCGAAGCCACACTGGGAAGTGATCGCTGCCCATTGGATCATCTGCCACAGACCACTCGAGGCTCTCCACCAGCTCGGGACTAGAAAGACTCAGGTCAAGCGCGGAAGTCTGACCAGACGGCAGTGTAAAATGAGTACGAGTCCCTGTGTTTAAAATACACAGTGACGAGTCACGGATAAAATGTTCGCACATCCTTCCGCGGGTGTTCGTGCTATCACAGCCCCACGCGGTGTGATGAGCGTTGAAGTCGCCTAAAAGAAGACATGGTGAAGGCGACTCATGCACTAAACGTCTCATGTCTTCCAATGGAAAACCGACGCCAGGTGGAAGATATAAAGAACACACCGTGATGTGACGGTGATTCAAATGTAGGCGTGCGGCTACAGCCTGTAGCGTAGACCGCAGGTTAAACCTCCTGGCTGGCACGCTGTGGTGGACTGCAAGAAGGACACCGCCATGTGCGATACCGTCGGTTAACACATCATTGCGAAACAGGGCGTATCCCTTCAGCGTGCAGTGGTGACTAGAAGCAAGCTTGGTCTCCTGCAGCGCTACGGCTGCGGGACAGTGCTCGCTGACGACAGCCTGGAGGTCGAGGGCATTTGCCCTTATTCCTCTACAGTTCCACTGTAAAAAAGGCCTGTAAAGGGGGCGTGTTAAAAAGCCGGTTGGAGGTCACATACTAAAACCGGGCACGTCCTAAAAGAACTGGGCTGCGCCAGTTGCAGAAGCAGACTTTTCTGACTGAGAGCCACGGTTGGAATCTGCAGGGAGGTGCCCCACTCTGGGACGAGTTCTGGGGCTCCCGCCGTCAGATGGAGACGGGGGACCGGCCGGGGCACGCTTGACGCCAGCGTACCCGGTCCGGGGTGGCGGCGGGGAAGGGCCCATCGGCGGGCCTCTACCGGGCGTCTGGGGGTCAGCGGGGGCCTCCACTGGCCTTCTCGGCGATGGTGTGCCACTGCGAGGGTTGGGCTCCTTGCTTGCAACGGACAAGCGATTGGCCGTCTTAGCCCTCTCCAACTCCGCTAGGCGGGCCCGCTTGGCGTCGCGGGCGCGCCTGTCCGCCTCATGCCGTTCCATCGTTTCCGCTGCTCGTCCACACACACTCGCCAGCGTCGCCGGAGGCGACGAGGGCAGCGGAGTGACAGACGGCGAGGAAGGCCGAGCCCGCGGACCATGGCCGCGCTTGACCACCGTCCATCCCTCCTCCTCCCCCGCCTGCGACCCCGACGACACATGAAGGTCCGGCGGCACAGCGTTGGTAGAGCAGGACGCAACTGAAGGACCAGGAGGAACCGACTGGGCGGGGGTCGCCCGCCCCGCCGGCACCACAGACAAACCGAAGGATCGCAGGAGCGTGATGAGTTGGACCGCTGACATGTGACTGATGCTGGTGGACTGTGGTACAGAGGTTTTGGATTTTTCGGCATAAGATACCTTGGGGTGATTAGCCTCATACTGTTCACGCGCCTCGCGGAA